TTTGCATTAATATTATATATATAAATTATTTAGGGAGAGGGGTTTTACATAGGCTAAGCCTGTTCCCAAATCCCATTTCGACAACCTGAATAAAATAGTATTTATTAAAAAAACAAAAAAACAATTTCATTGGCTAATCCGTCATATCAAAAAGAAAGGGGGTTATATAACAACTTCCCAGATCCTAGTGTAGTGAAGGCAAGTAAAACTAAATTTTGAATTATAAAAAACGAAATGAAGTAGGATCTGTGTTTTAATCAGACTGGGAGAGATTGGTCCAGTTGCATTTTGATTGGCTGTTTACAGTGCACAATTAAGACCACAACTCATTGATGTCAGGTGTTTAGTAAAATTCAGTTTTGTAAACTAATGAAAAACAATTGAAAATAAACTAATTTCTTAATTTTTGAAAATTCCTATAATTTCTAAATTATGGTAAGGGTCTATATTATTGGTCGGTATTTGAAATATAAAAACTTATATTCACAAATTGGAGGGGGGTTAAATTTTTTATCAAATAAATCATCTCTCTCTTTTTTTTTTTTATCAAAAATAACCATGTATCGAATTTGATACTCCATGTCTCTCCTAAGAAAAAATATATTGCTAAAAGTACTATTCTTCTGTCAAGTCAGCCATCAGACACAATCATTACCTATTACTATTAATAACAGTCTTTTATTCTAACTTAAGATATATTTTGCATTAATAAACAAAATATGTATCATGCTTGAATTGTATTATGAATATTACCTTATATTCATAATCCTATTGCCAGTATGTTGTATCATAACACCCTTATTTAAAGGTCAGAGATGCAGTTTTAAACAGATGCATTACTTAAACATGCATTATGCAAGAGCTAAATCTGCCTATTGCAGGTCTTGCTTTAGGCCTGAAATGTTATCTTAATTATTAATTAGACATTAATTAACTTATCCAGGCCATAATCAACTCTCGATGGCATCGGATTTCTCCGATATTAAATAGATTAGAACAGTTCAGCCATATTTTGATTTAAGCTAAAATTGGAGGAGAGAGACTTAGCTTCGAACAACCAGTACGGTGGTTGAAATTATTGCACACGTCTTGTCAAGCCTTCAAAGGCTAATATCTTCGCTCACAATAGAGTAATTTGAATGAAATTTTCAAATTATTAATTTTACATTATCTATTTACGAACTATTACAGTAAGAATGGCTAGCTCTTTATCTAAATCTAACATAATGTATCTAGTTTAAGAGCTAAATCTAACTATTGCAGGTCTTTTTCTAGCTTCAAATGTTAATTGTTATATAAATTATTATTTAAACATTTATATATTCAACTATCTGGGCCATTGGATTCAGATGGCTCAGATTTTAAGTAGATAAAAACAACACTGCCATTTATGAGTTTAACAATAAAATAAAGAATCAAGACTTAGTCTCGATTGTGAAGTACCATTGCTACAATAATAAACAATCTACGCTACATTTTCTCAAAACTTCAAACAGTCATAACTTTGCTCAGAATTAAGTAATTCGACCGAAGTTTTCAATATATTCATGTTTCATTATCTAATTTTTCACTACTATAGCAAGAACAGCAAGCGCTTTATCTAAATCTTACATAATGCATCTTTAAGCTTTTGATCAATGTATAATAAGAGGTAAATAATCTAAAAAACATGTAGAGCAATTATAAGTACATGGTTAGTGTTGGTAGGGGGATTGAATAACACTGTGAATAACTAATGCATGAAACTGAATTTCAATATGGTTTATGCCTACATGTATATGTATGAGTCATTGAATAAAAGCCCAGCCACTTTGAGAGATAGGTTGCCAGGCAACGAAACATACGCCCACAGCAGCTAAATCGTCCGGGCAGTCAAAAAGAATTGTGGCGTGTTTTTACTTCTGTTGGTAATGAAACATTTATAATACACTAAAATCTGATTAAGAGTAACAACTCATTAAGTAATTATCAGAAAATCATTAGAATATTTGTTTGGCCCATGCTAACGTTTAGTACGGTATACAAAACATTTAATATCATGGATTTTGCTGTTCAAGTTATCAAAAATCATTGAAAATCAATAGACATGTACTTGGTCGTCTCAACCTAAAGTCTGTCGAAACGATTATATATAGGCAGATGATAACTATGGTCTCTAAAGCATCCACAAGATTTTTCAAAGTGGTCAAGGTCCATAACTCAGGAAGTAATTATCAGAGATCGTTGAAAATCAATAGGTTTCTTCGTCTGATAACCTTAAACACAGTGTATGAATTTAAAGTCAATCAAATATTAACTTTAGCCTCTAGAATAGAGCGTCCAGAAGATAATTCAAAGTGATGAAGGGCCATAACTCTAGCAGTAATCGGTGAAAATCAATAGGCTTCTTCGTATCATGACTTTAACAATGTGTTTAAATTAATAGTCACTCGGATATTAACTTTAGCCTCAAGAGTGTCCACAAGATTTTTCAAAGTGATCAAGGGCCATAACCATGACAGAAATTATCAAAAATCAATAGACTTCTTCATCTCATGATCTTAAACACTGTATAAATTTACAGTCAATCAGTTATTAACTTTAGCATCTGGAGCGTCCAGAAGTAAGGCAGGCAATTGATTCTTTTTTCAAGTATCGTTTATCTCCGACCATCCGCTGATCAATAATCGATAATATCGGCAAATTATTTTGACTTACAATTGGTCTGAAAACAATCATAATTTGTACATGAATAACGAATTAAATGCGAGTTTATGTTGTGATATCATTCTGTATACATGTAGAATTTTTTTCATTTATTTGACATTTGACAAAAAATAATAGCATTCTATAGCAAAACCAAGATGTAGAAAGAAACTCAATCAAATTTGTTTGGAAGACAGAACCGCCACCGCTGGCCATATCTTTGTCTGAATAATAATGTGTAAAATGTAGTTATTTCCTCTTCAGACATTTCTTTGCAAATTTGTTGATAAAATCATAAATGAAAGAAATGAAGAGTTAAAATAAGGGGCACAACTGAATGTTACGGGAAACCATTGGCTCTCATCATGACATAAGCGGTCAACATTTCTCAAAGGTGGCGTCTCGCGTGAAAAAACACATTAGTGTTTTATTATGACTATTCTGTTTAATTACACTTCTAGGCCCAAGAACGCGTTGCAAAGAATACAGTGATAAGGATTATTTTTATGGACTTCTTCCAAGTGAAGTACTTATAATTGCACGATAATCAATATTTTAAAACTGTATCGATTTTCAAAACCCTTACCAGTGATTATTGGCAATATCGATATTTTCCGCCAGCCCTATCCACAAGATTTTTTAAGGTGATCAAGGGCCATAACTCTGGCAGTAATTATAAGAAATTGGTGAAAATCAATAGGATTCTTTGTCTCATAACAGTGTGTATAAATTTAAAGTCAATTGGATATTAACTTTAGCCTCTAGAGCACCCACAAGCAACCGTGGATTCCGGACCGACGCGATGACAATATAAAAAAGAATCTGTGGGCTGATTACAAAAAGTTAGACTAACAGAATGCCAGGAATAATAATTCTGGAACTGTTATTAAAAAGTGTTATAAAATCGATGGTGACCATTTTTACCCCGTCATTTCTCCAGAGTGAGTATAAGTACATGTAGGGTCTATACAGGGTCTATATAATGTACTTTATCAATGATCGCATGTCCGGGGGGGGGGACGTTTGTGTAGATGCCTTAAATCAGTAAAGACATTCTGTACCATAATTCACACGTAGGCCTACTGAGAATGTCATGAAAATTTGATGAAAGGGAATGTATGCATGCCAGGGGCAATAACCTTAGAATTGTTTTTTGCAAAAACACCCATAATCCATAGACACCATCTAAATACTCCATCATATCCATTTCAGCTGTTGGATCAGTAGGCTACTCTCAGTACGGTCAGCTAAAACTACTTTTCAAAAAATGATCAAAATCCATAGGGACCATCTTTACACTAATATTAAATCTAAATCTGACCATTTCAAGAAAATCAGTCAATGGCCTTACAGACCACATGTACAGCTATGGGTTTTACTCTTCCCTGACCAGCATTGCCTGTCAACCATCAAAATGTCCAGGGAAAAAATTCAGACCTTCTAGATTAGTTAAATAGAAAAGTGAATAATAATAACCCCCCAAAAAAAGGTTGCAGCAGGCAAAATTTCCAAAATGTATGCCTGCCTTCATTAGTCTAGTTTGTGCAGAAAACTAGGACGTTAAATATCAACTCCATATCAACAATATAAATTTTGTTTTAATATTCTTTGGATTTTCCATTGTACGACACATCCGTGTATGTGTATCCGTCAATCTGGTTAAAACACAGATCCTATTTCGTTTCGTTTTTATAGTTCAAAATTTCGTTTTACTTGTCTTTACTACACTTGGATCTGGAAGAGTTGTTATTTAACTCATGTTCTGAATGGTGTCGGGGTTAAGCCAATGAAACGGTCTGTTACGGCGAAGTTAAGGCGTGTTTTGCACGGAACTGTGGGTAGGCTAATACTAGTAACATCAATGCTGATTGGTTAATCAAACGTCTGACATCATCGGGTCATAAGTCTGTCTTTTGACCCCTGGCGTGACCTATCGCTATAACTTGTCAGATCTTCATGTAGTGTAGGCCATCGAAAGTATAAAAAAACGAAACGAAATATTATAGATATGTATTTTAATCAGATTGGTGTATCCGTGTATGTGTATCCAGTTAACATGTATGAAAGGATAGAAGGTTTCATTTAATTTGCTACCTGCTATTTATCTATATGTCCCATGATGTTTTGCAGAAGTGACAGACCTATCTTATCATGCTTATTCCTGATTGATGCAGGAGTCGTGGTGAAAATGAACGGAGAAATATTAATATTTAATATCTCTACTGACTGAATTTAATACAGTTCATGTGAACTCTGTGTTGTTTATTCATAAATAATGGCTACAGTCTTCATATCTTTTGTTTTTGTCTACTTACCAGATTATATCTGTTGACTGTGATCGATGTTTATTCCACAAATATTCGCTTTCATCAATGACAGGTGAGTGTAAACATTTTCCTGAAATTTACCTTCGTTCACGCGCATGACTGACTTTAGAGTTAACTCCCTTAGACCCCAAAGCCTTTCACAGGGGCTTGACACAAATTTATGACTTGTAACAATTAGCACTCCGTGTCTTTTCGTAAAATTATCGGAATAACGTATAAAAGGAAGAACAGTAGGCTAAAAAATATTTCCACCGTGAGTGTTCGAGAACAGTTAGAGGCTACTTCAGTTTTATTCCCATATTTATTTGCTATTTTCAATTTGTGCATTTAGTTAGGTACCTGTAACTATACAACCCTACGAAAGTTTGACCCCTTCAAAAAGTTGGCCCTAAAACTGAATACCACATGTACTGAATTGACTATGGATTCATTTTGTCTGGAGCCACTTTACTTTGTGCGACAATTTTCAGGCATCGATTATTATTTGTGAATGCAGCTGTAACAGTCTAATTGGATGGTTGGAATTCAGGTAGCATATTGTGGGATTTCGGTTACAAAACCACTGTTCAACTTTGGAGTTGCTTAACTTACGGGCTAGAATGGCACAAAAACGCATTTGCCGTAGTTAAATTTTCAAAATTTCTCTGGGAGGGCCAGGCCCCCATATACAACGCGTTGATTGATTGGTTGTTTGAGATTCAGGTCAGCCATAGGATCACAGACTGAAATAGCAGGAAAACGCGATTGCGGCAGTTAAATTTTCTCCCGACGTTCCCGTCTCCGTTGACTGTAAACGACTGATTGGTTGATTGGAATTCGAGTCCGCCATCATATTATAATTAGGCTATATTACATCACTTTGAAGTTGATGTAGAATAGCAGCAAACGCGTTTGCGGCCGTCCAATTTTCGCATACCGAATAAGACAAACTTAGATACAAAGGAAAAATGGTTATACTACAATGGTGCTTTTTGTCATTTGTTTTCAGAAAAATCTGCATTTTTGTATGATAATCGTCCATAATTTGTTCATATCTGTAATGTCGGGTTATTCTATCTCAGATACCATAGCAACTTAGAACAGCTTGCCAACTTCCCAACAGGGAAAGGCAACACCCTGGACATCACTCAACCTATTCCATCTTATGGCAACAGTGACCATGACATAGTCCTTCTAGACATGTACTCTACGGCTAAGCGACCAAAACCCATTCGCAGAAAGATCTACTTCTGGAAACGAGCAGACATACAAGGAATCAAAGAGGATGTTACTGACCTTACCGATTTAGTTATAGTCCCAGAAAACGTTGACATAACATGGGTGAACCTCAAAGGGCAGACCATCGCCAAAAGAGTCCCCTCCAAGATGACGACTTCTCGTTACACAAATCCCTGGATAAACACGGATATTAATAGAGCCATCAGACGGTAACATAGGGCTTAGAAGAAGGCACGCCTTACTAAGAAGAAACAAGACAAGGACCTTTACAAGAAACTACAGAAAGTGGTACAGTCGAGGTCAGATGAGCAAACAGGAATTACCTTGAAACCACAGTGAGCAGAGACTATAAGGAAGACTCCAAGAAATTATGGACTTACATCAAGAGTAAAGGCCAAGAAGCCACTGGAGTAGCACCACTCAAAAACAAGAGTGACGGCCGGTCAAGAGCCAACATACTGAATTCACAGTTTGAATCAGCTTTCACTGCATAGAATAAAACAATCATCCCAGACATAGGACCAAGCAGTTTTCCCACCATGGCATCCGTCAAACTTGATTGGAAAGGTGTACATACACTTGAAACTTCTGATGAGTCCGAAGCCCTATTATGCAACCGGACCAAACACAGTCCCCTCATTCATCATCAAAGCCGTAGTCACCGAATTAGCACCCGCCCTTATGCAACTCTTCCAGATGTCACTCGACTCAGGCATAGTCCCTAAGGATTGGAAGGAAGCCAATATTCAAGAAGGGAGACAGACATCAGCCAGCGAACTACACGCCAGTGTCACTTACCCACATCACCTGCAAGATACTGGAGCATATATTGCATAACCGCATAATGCAGCACTTCGACAAGAACAGCATCTTGTGTGATAGTCAGTATGGTTCCAGAAAGCGTTGCTCCTATGAGACACAACTGGGCCCTTATTCACCAAAACGTAAACTAAGATACAATCGAAATTTTAAGAAATACTGCAATTCGATTTGCTGACCAGTAAAATCAATTTGTATATATCCAATGAAGTTGCAGTATTTCTTAAAATTTCGGTTGTAACTTAGTTTAAGTTTTCGTGAATAAGGGCCCAGATCTCTACCATACAGGAAATAGGCTCACCCGTCGCCAAGGGCTCCCGTCTTCATTAGCCCAGGTTAGGAGCAGAACAGTAGGGCGTTAAACCCTATTTCATTTCATTTCCGTAGCCAAGGGAAAACAAAACCATGTCATACACCTGACTTCGCCAAAGCGTTTGACAAGTGCCCCATGAAAAGCTCCTTCATAAGCGTGAACATTACGGAGTAAGAGGCAACTCATTGAAGTGGACCAGATCCTTCCTCCGCAAAAGACACCAACAAGTCCTACTCGGCAGAGCAAAACATCTGACACGACCCAGGTCACACCAGAGTTCCACGGTGCACTGTGCTGTATTGGGCCATAGCCCTCATCAATGATCTTCTAGAATCCATGAAGTCGCCCCATTCCAAGCTTTTTGTTGATGACAGTCTCTGGTAGTGGGAAACTAGACAGACTCCGACCTTCTCCAGAAAGATCTCACCACATTAGAGACATAGGAAAATACCTGGCAGATGTCCTTCAATCAATCCAAATGTACAGTCATTCGCATTGCTTCAAAGAACAAGAGGATACTATTCAGCATGGCTTAGTCGATATACCTCACCAGAAGTACTTACGAAACGGCGACTCTCGCACCCAAGGTCAACACAGCTAGATTCTACCAGGAGAGAATATAAGATGACGCCTACACCAACTCATTGTTCCCCAGAATAGTCAGAGACTGGAACCAGCTCCCTTGAGGAGTCCAGATCACTCCTAGCGATCCACCTCACCAGACTAGAGCCACATTGTGAATAGTTTTAACCTCCACACCCAGTTTTAAACTGTATATAGTCAACTTCTTAACATAAGCTGCCCGCCATCACTATGCCTTGAGTTTCATTGAACTATTTATGGTCTGGGAAGATCCCAGTTCAGTACAATGAAATCTGAAATAGAATAACCCGACATCACAGATATGAACAAATTATGGAAAATTATCTGAACAAAAATGCAGATTTTTCTAAAAACAAACGACAAAAAGCACGATTGCAGTATAACCATTATTCCTTTGTATCTAAATTTGTCTTATTTGGCATCCCCGACTTATAAAAACTTACATTTGAACAAATTAGACGGCTAGTTTCAATATTTTCCCTTACTTTTATAATGACAAAAGGTCCATTTTTGGCGGCCATTTTGAAAATGGCCACTGAACCAACCTAAAATGACGTCACATACCAAAAATATCATAGGATTCAGATTCAGCAGCCAAAATGGCCTTAAAAACACACGTCATGCGGGATATCAATATAATATTTTGATGTCATTTGCCCACCCCTATGTTTTTTGTATGTTTCGGGCATAGATTTCTAACGACTTTATTAAATTTGTATGAATATCGGTAAAATTCTAATTATCGCAACAAATCTAATACGAAGAGGCTAAAATATGTAGATACAGGGGTGAGAAATTGACTGACAGGTGATTTAATTATCGCTAGGGGTGAAAATCTGTGCGAAGGTGCGTTTTCTGTACTGGGTGTGTTAATTAACGGACGGGTTAAAAACTGCACCAAAGGTGTTTTATCAAGGACCAGCAGACTTTATCTGACGCGTAGGTTTTAAATCTAATTTACCGTGCGATTTCTTGTTCGACCGTGTGTTTTAGGCAGATCAGTCTTTGTTAATGGACAATATTGGTGTCAGTCATCATCACATATGTGATAGAACTGGTTAAATAAGTTCCAAATATAATTTTAACACAGAGATCATTGTTTTCCTTTTGCGTTCGTTACTTCCGTTTGTTGAAACCTTCATTACGCATCTATCGTAGCAATGATCCCTGTGTTAAAATTATATTTGGGACGTGTTTAACCAGTTCTATCACATACATGTATGTGATAATGACTGACACCAATATTGCCCTTTAAGTGTAGGTCGATCTTTACACATGGATTTATAAGTGCTGTAGTTACATAATAATATGTGCGTTCTTATACGTATTTTTTTTCTGAATGAATACTACGTGTTTTATACTTCGTACCATAGTCGGACTGCAGTTATTTATATATTTGTCTTTTTTGTGGGTTTAATTTGTTTACATATTATCGTGCGTACGACTGAACTATAAATGCACGTATCTTAAAATTGATCGCAAGCAGTGTCGTTATATCCAGACCAACCTCCATTGATATCAGACTAACGAATCTTGTTTCGAAAGAAAATTTATAAATATAAAATCGCGCAATTATTGAAAAACATAATTAAAGGCTAGTAGTCTAACCAGCAATACTTGCATTTCTCCAATATATAGTTTTGATCTAAAATAAGGGAAAACACAAACACTGTAGATTAAATCAATTTTAACAATTCTGTACCGTATAATGACAATCCATGGGAGGCAACTTTTCAATTATACAAGGAAAGTTCGCTTGGTCTTTCGAAAATCCATATAAACTTTGGAGTGCGCGTAAAAACACTTACAATTCGAAATACAAAGAATAGTAGGCGGGCGAAGTTCTCCTAATTTACAATATCATGTTTGCCCCTAAATGTCCAAAGTATTTTATTGATGAGACATTAAATCCCTTTTCAAGCATTCCACTCGACACATCATTTACAAGTTTGTATATTAAAATTCAAAGCAAAATGAAATGGGATTTAATATCCCACTTTTCTGCGGCAACTCGGCTAATAATGTTTTAAGTCTCAGTGTCAGTAGCGGATATACAAGCTGTGAATAGGGGGATGGGGGCGGTTCCAAATCTAGGGCACCATCCACAATCCAACCCCATAATGAATGTCAACAAAATACTGGC